ATACACGCCAGTTTCCAACCGTCCTCCATCCGAAACCGAGACATCGCAATCCAGGAACACCAACTTAATATATTCATCCACAGAGTTGATGTGATCAGTGAAATGTTGGACTTCCTGGGCTTTAATATTAACCCAGGTGTCGTCAACATATCTGAACCAATGGCTCGGTGGCACCCCTGAAAAGGACATCAAGGCTCTCTTTTCCACTTCCTCCATGTACAGGTTGGCAACAATAGGAGAAACTGGGGATCCCATGGCACACCCATGTTAAGATAATCAAATCCGATTTCATTTATTTGATTATATTTTTACTCATTTTTATATTTTATATTTATTTCACTTTTTTTCCTGAAAACAAAAATGTAGCTTTTAATTTATATTTACTCCATCAAAGTCTCGGTTTAGTGTTGGTGGACTCAGTCTTTTGAAATATTTTTCTTAGAACCTGAATTGTTTATGAAGTTCCAGTGCTAAAGATATGTATGGACTAGATTATAGGGCTGCACAATATATTGACAATTTATCGTTATCATCATGATAACAGCTTGTGCAATAGGCATATCACAAAAAACTGCAATAAATGTTTCACTCAAAAGTTTGCATTTATGAGTTTTGTCACTCAGACAGAAGCTTGAAGTATTTCACCAATCAAATGAAGACTCATGTATTTGACAAATAGGATGGATCTCTTCATATTTTTAGAAAATTCATGCTGGAATGGAAATGATTAGGTTTTTGTTTTTTGTTTTTTGCTCTGAACCCAGAGCAAACGTTATTTAAGCACTCCGGAAGCAACCGATAGGTGTCGGCAGTCCAAGTGGATTGCAGCTCAGGTGGTCACCGAGGCAAAAACTTGGGTGTGGGAGGAGTTCAGAGAGACCATGGAAAAAGACTTCCATACGGCTTCGAGGCGATTCTGGTCCACCATCCGGAGTCTCGGGGTGGGGGGAGCAGTTCGCCACCAACACTGTTTATGGTGGGGATGGTGCAATGCTGACCTCAACTCGGGACGTTGTGGGTTGATGGGCAGAATACTTCGAAGACCTCCTCAATCCTACTGACACGTCTTCCCATGAGGAAGCAGAGCCTGGGGACCCTGGGTCAGACTCTCCAATCTCTGGTGCTGAGGTCAGTGAGGTGGTTTAAAAGCTCCTCGGTGGCAGGGCGTCGGGGGTGGATGAGATTCACCCAGAGTTCCTTAATGTTCTGGATGTTGTGGGGTTGTGTTGGTTGATGCAACTCTACAATATTGCGTGGACATCGAGGGCAGTTCCTCTGGATTGGCAGACCAGGGTGGTGGTCCCCCTATTTAAAAAGGGGGACCAAAGAGTGTGTTCCAACTATAGGGCGATCACACTTCTGAGCCTCCCTGGTATAAGGTCTATTCAGGGGTTCTGGAGAGGAGGGACCCTCAGATAGTTGAATCTCAGATTCAGGAAGAGCAGTGTGGTTTTGGTCCTGGTTGTGGAACAGTGGACCAGCTCTACACCCTCAGCAGGGTCCTGGAGGGTGCATGGGAGTTCAACCAGACTACATGCGCTTTGTGGACTTGGAAAAGGCGTTCGACCGTGTCCCTCGGGGACTCTTGTGGGGGGTACTCTGGGAGTATGGGGTACCAGGCCCATTGATACAGGCTGTTAGGTCCCTGTACAACAGGTGCCAGAGCTTGGTCCACATTGCCGGCAGTAAGTCGGACTCATTTCCGGTGAGAGTTGGACTCCACCAAGGTTGTTCTTTGTCTCTGATTCTGTTCATAACTTTTATGGACAGAATTTCTAGGAGCAGCCGAGGTGGTCAGACTGACTATTTTGGGTGGGGTTTGAAGAAGCCTGGGGCAGCTGAGGGGGGACATGTAGCTCAATCAATACAGCCAGAAAGCACCGTTATTTTTTTATATAAATATTGGTCATAACTCAAACAGGAAGGTGCTAGTCCCATCAAATTTAAAGTTAATAAATTATGTTTAAATGTTCACAAAAATTATTGGAGACATTTTTCTGTTTTAAACCATAAATAGGCAGTCGATAAATTGCATTTAGATGGTAAATATACTTTGACTATTACATCATCTATTAGCTCCCCCACAAGACAAGACAACCTCCGCCCACCCAAGATCTTCTGCCTATATTCCAAACTCCAATCACCGTTAGGAAAAACTATGCCCACAGACAGGAAACTCCACCTATGTACTTGCAGAGACCCCTATTTCATATCTGACCTGCAGACCCTGCAACAGCAGTCTGCTGACATGCTGCATCTGTGTGGGACCCCTGCTGCACTGAAGCAGACAAGAGGCAGCAGAGATTAGCCAAACTAGAGGAGCCTTAACCGAGTGAGAAACATTTAGTGAAGTTAACACCCGTATTATAGGTGCATCAAGACCTGCACTACATTTCATCCCTGAAGTCAGAACTACTGTACGACAAATGTAAACATGTAGTAACTCCTGTTTTCAATGAAACCTTGATTAGTAGACTATCTACAGATGCAAACATTTATTACACTTACCATTAATTGTTGAATAATGTTTTTCTTGGTTTTATAATAAACACCATAGTGTCACATTGTTGATATAACATGATGTTTGTTGAAGGTAGCACAACTGTGTTTGCTGCAACACCAGTTTCACTTGTTCCCCCATGTTTGTCTTGTATGTYTTCTTGAATGGGTGTTTCTTAACTGCCCCCTCCCCCTTCCCTGAATGTACAGCACCKTGTGAATTTATTTCTGTGAAAGGYRCTATATAAATAAAMCTTTACTTTACTTACTTTACTAATGTTTTAGATTAAAATTTCAGTTTCATCCTTCATCTCTCCAGCAGAAAAAAATAGAGCTAATTTTCCTTTTGCAACTTGTATACTCAAAATATTTGATTTGATTATTTTAATTATTTACGTCACCTTTTGATACATTTAGCTTTGAAGCAGTTTTGAGCTGCTAATAGCTTTGTGTTACCTTTAACTACCTTTCTGCTTCTTTTTGCTTGCATYTTGATAATCAAGCTTTTCACTTTTTGCAACATATTTCATTTTAGCTAGCTTTTAAAAACCTATAGCTATGAGATAATGTATTCTGCTTTTAGTTAACTTTTGCTTCTTTTAGTTAGCATTTTATTTTAGCTTTATAGCTATCCTTTTTGCAACATTTAACTAGTATTTAAGATTTTAGCATTTTTGGTAAATTTAAGCCATGCAGTACCAAGGATTCACACAATGTTTTCACAGAAAATGCTTTCTTTAGTTTAATATGCACCTTATGCAAACCAAAACTTGAATGTTTTTGTCGTAATTTGCATTATTTTTGTCTCATTTTCAAAACTGGTTGTTTTGATTTGATTTGAAGCATTTTGACCACTGTTCTCTTCAATATTTTATATTTACGTAAAGTTAAAATTGGTTGGAGAAAGTTTTGGGCACCACTTGAACAGTTCAGAGTAGGGCAGTACCTGTCTAACAAAGGTCTTTTTCAGACCTTCRTGAAAATCCATCCAGATCTTGGCATAGCGACGGACCTTGAGAGGTTCATCTTTGACAGGTGAAATGACCTGGTTAACGACCTCCATGAGTTTGTCATGTGGCAGACTCTCATAGGCTCCACTCACATCCACCTTAAACACACATACAAAAAAAAACAAGGTGCACACAGCACTGGAACTGCTCAAAATCAAATTACCAGTAGGTAATAAATTAGTAGTAAAAAAAACAGGTGAGTCAGCTCACCTTAACAAAGTAGAGGCTTTGTGGGTTGTCTTTCTGAGCCGATGCCACTGAGCACAACAGCCTGTGGATATCAGTCATGTCCCACACCGTGGAGCCAAGCAGGGACGGAGTGGAGCGCACACAGGCCTGCAGCGTGTCCTGCAGGTCCCTGACACGAGCCTGGAAGACCTGCAGGACACATTCTGTCATTTAACTTCCTGATGTGAGAAAATCCCACCATGACTGTGTCAGTGTACCCTGGTTTTAGGGTCCGCTCCTGTAACCCGTGTGATGGGTCTCATGCTGTCCGTCTTGGGAATGAAGCGAAGTCGAGAGGTGACGGTGCCTTTGGGGAGGGAAGCCACCTGAGCTGGAGACAGCTCCTCCAACTGGCCTTTAGCCAGGTGACCTCTGACATACACAATAGATTACTTTTTCCTTTATTTGTGACCTTCTGTCTACATAAAACTGGGTAACCATGGTTATGTGTTCGTATCTTTGTACCTGAAGGCCAAGTCTTGAAGTCTGGCCCACACTTTYAGCCTGTAGAACCTGATGAGGTTTTTTTGCCCCGTGCTCTCTGTTGCATAAAAACAAGCTCGGACGAGGCTCACAACATACCCATCCAAAAGCCAAGTCAAGAACTGACCCAGGATCTGGGTCCGGTATGCCAGCTCACTGGGTGGAACACGACCTAAGACCAGATTATTTTAAAAGCATCATTAAAAGTTTGAGAAGCCAACAAGGACAATTAAGCCCCYTTTCCATGGTGTAGTGTCGGAACGGTCGGTGTAGGTACGGGTCGGACCGGTTGGTTTTCCATTGATGTTCCAGTCCGGTTCCAGTGGGTGTGTTTTGGGCGGTTGGTGGAGGTGGTTTTTAGGTATTTTGAATAAAGGTTAATGGGCAAAATGAGCGATGGAAACACATTTGATGAATAACTTTAGAAATTTTACAAATTTGCAAAAATTTAGCCAATCAGTGACGAACAGTGTTCTGACGTCGCATTTTGGTGTCAGCTGGGGCCGGTTGGAACCACAATGAAGTAGGTACTAAAAAMAGTGCCGGTTCCATGGATCTGACCTAATGGAAATGGCTTGGAACCATAMCGAACCGTACCGAACCRTGGCACTAGTGGAAAAGGGGCATTRGTTTGTGTCYATAATGAACTCACCGGTCTTACTCATCTTCAGCCAATCACAATCGTTCACCTTCACCTTCCACATCAGTTCAGCCACTGACATCCTTTCAAATTTGCTGCTTCGCAGGAAGCCTCTGACTCTGGCGAGGAAGTGAAGACGGTTGTGGTCGGAGCCCCACAGCTCTTGAGGGACCACAGCACAGAGGCACTCCCTGACGAACAGGTAGACCCGATGAGGGGCGCAGTGTTTGGGTAACAGGGACTTTAACTCCGCCTGTCCTGAACTGCTCTGCTCATCTAGCGGACACATCTTCTGCAGAATCTTGTCATAGTGGCATTTTTTATGMAGCTGTAGCAGCTGATTGAACAGAGGTACCATGTTAAAAAACCGTCGGGGAAGTTTCTCTGGTTTTCTCTTCAGCCCTTTAAAATACATCAGACCCTCAAAGAAGACCATCCTTATTAAATCCTTCCCCTGTAACCTTCTGGCTCCATCCACGGTGGTCTTCTTCCTGTTGAGCAGGAAGCTGCGCATCCCTCTGCCACCGTACAGGAACCTCAGTGTTTGGATGAAACATCGTGTGGGGGGCAAAGGTGGGAAAGTTCCTGCTCTCCAACTGGGATCACCTGAGGGGAGGACGGCTGCTGACGTCTTAGTGGGCTGTTTGAAGGCAGTCGCTTCAGTTTCCACATTTTTCTTTGGCAGTGTTGATTCCACAGACGTGCTCGGTCTTTCCTCTGTTTCTGAACACACCTGTTCCATTTCCTGTTTGTCTTTTTGTTTGGTCAGTYGTCTCCTTTTACTCAGCGCAGCCTCCTCCGGCTCATCTGGGTCCCTCTTTCTTTTCCGTTTATTCACTTTTTCACCCCCTTTCATCCCTGGTTTGCTGGCCTCAGGCTTCACRACGACACGTCTCCTCTTCAAGTTTGACCTCTGACTCCTTCCAAACGGAGAGCAACCTCGGCTCTTAGCTTGAGGCTGCAGATTAAACTTGCTTGAAATGGTGGACATGGACACCCTGTCATACACGGGAACACCACACAGCTGGAAAGCACATGAGGGAGGGACTGCCATGAACACAGAACAGCTCTCCAGCAGGTAGCGTGTGATGTCTGTACCGAGACGTAAGGCGACTCTCTTCCACAGGTCACTGCCGTGGATGAAGGCAGCACTCTGAGTGGCCTCGGCTTGGAATTTCAAATAGTCTGCGTTTCGATTCTCCTGTGCCACACTCGGAAAACGGTAGCCTTGTGCCAAGACGTTCCTTTTCTTCTTCCTTTTCATGGTGTTGAGAACAAAAGCCAGGAGTTCTGGAAAAGTGCAAATCTACAAAAAGCACAAATACATCACCACTAAAAAGACTTGAAACAGAAAACTGATAATCTTATAGATAAACACAGAATYAGACATATAATACCTCTTGGGTTGATGATTGTCTGACACAAAAAGACAAAAGTTGGCAGTAATGTTTTACAAGGGTTTGTTTGTGTGCTTGTCTACTGCCAACACCACGAAGCACAGGACAAATCTTATTAAAACTGTAGGGATCACCTGGAGTGAAGAAACAACATTTACTGCCTCGAAGCAGGCCTACTGAGAGGACAGGAACTCTGTCACAAAC